TGCGCTACCATCGCCAAATGCCGCTCATCTCTCACTCAACTTTTGATCGCTCCCATTCGAAAATGGGCTTTAGTGTTTCGAGCACGCGGTGACGGAAGAATGCGGTACAAAAGTGGGCAATGGTAAACACGAAGCAGAAGCGGTAAGGATGGCAAGGGCGAAGGGAGAGGGAACTTAGCCGCATGGGGGTGCTTGCAGGACAGTGGCGTGAGGCTTCCAGGAGGCTCGCACACCGCTGTGACTGTCTGCCGTGCGTCATCCCACCGCCCTCCCTCCCCGCACCACGCTGCCATAGCACCAGACAAGAGGGGTGGAGCAAAGAAGAGCAAGAGAACCCAAGTAGTCAGTAGAAGAAAGAAAGAAGTGAAATGCATGCAAGGAGGCAGAGATAACACAAACGGTGAGTAGAGGAAACGAAAGTTGAAGATAAAAAGGAGGTGGCACTGTGACGCTGTGAAAGGGGAGGCGATGGTAGCACACAGCACTAGGGCGCCGAGCTAGCAGGCATATAAGGACGGGACGCAGCATGATTATGAATGCATTCTATTCTAACCCCCTACGACTCTAGTATGAGCTCAAGCCGCCCCAATGCCATGCGCTACCATCGCCAAACGCCGCTCATCTCTCACTCAACTATTGATCGCTCCCATTCGAAAATGGGCTGATTTGTTTCGAGCACGCGGTGACGGAAGAATGCGGTACAAATGTGGGAAATGATAAACACGAAGCAGAAGCGGTAACGATGGAAAGGGCGAAGCGAGAGGGAACTTAGCCGTATGGGGGTGCTTGCAGGATAGTGGCGTGAGGCTTCCAGGAGGCTCGCACGCCGCTGTGACTGCCTGCCGTGCGTCATCCCACCGCCCTCCCTCCCCGCACCACGCTGCCATAGCACCAGACGAGAGGGGTGGAGCAAAGGAGAGCAAGAGAACCGAGCAGGGGAAAGGAACCCAGGTAGTCAGTAGTAGAAGCATGAAAGTAGTGAAACGCATGCAAGGAGGCAGAGATAACAAGAACGAATGAGTAGAGGAAACCAAAGTTGAAGACAAAATGTGTGTGGCACTGTGACGCAGTGAAAGGGGAGGCGATGGTAGCACACAGCACTAGAGCGGCGAGCCAGCAGGCAAGGGGGACGAGGTAAGGAAGGGACGCGGGCATGAGTATGAATGCATTCTACTCTAACCATCTACAACTCTAGTATGAGCTCAAGCCGCCCCAGTGCCATGCGCTACCATCGCCAAACGCCGCTCATCTCTCACTCAACTTTTGATCGCTCCCATTCGAGAATGGGCTCGTTTGTTTCGAGCACGCGGTGACGGAAGAATGCGGTACAAAAGTGGGCAGTGATAAACACGAAGCAGAAGCGGTAAGGATGGCAAGGGCGAAGGGAGAGAGAACTTAGCCGTATGGGGGTGCTTGCAGGACGGTGGCGTCAGGCTTCCAGGAGGCTCGCACACCGCTGTGACTGCCTGCCGTGCGTCATCCCACCGCCCTCCCTCCCCGCACCACGCTGCCATAGCACCAGACGAGAGGGGTGGAGCAAAGGAGAGCAAGAAAACCGAGCAGGGGAAAGGAACCCAGGTAGTCAGTAGAAGCATGAAAGTAGTGAAATGTATGCAAGCAGGCAGTGATAACAGGAACGAATGAGTAGAGGAAACGAAAGTTGAAGGTAAAAAACACATGGCACTGCGAATCAGTGAAAGGGGAGGCGATGGTAGCACACAGCACTAGAGCGGCGAGCTAGCAGGCAAGGGAGACAAGGTAAGGAAGGGACGCGGGCATGAGTATGAATGCATTCTACTCTAACCCTCTACAACTCTAGTATGAGCTCAAGCCACCCCAGTGCCATGCGCTACCATCGCCAAACGCCGCTCATCTCTCACTCAACTTTTGATCGCTCCCATTCGAGAATGGGATCGTTTGTTTCGAGCACGTGGTGACGGAAGAATGCGGGTACAAAAGTGGGCAATGATAAACACGAAGCAGAAGCAGTAAGGATGGCAAGCGCGAAGGGAGAGGGAACTTAGCCGTATGGGGGTGCTTGCAGGACAGTGGCGTCAGGCTTCCAGGAGGCTTGCACACCGCTGTGACTGCCTGCCGTGCGTCATCCCACCGCCCTCCCTCCCTGCACCACACTGCCATAGCACCGGACGAGAGGGGTGGAGCAAAGGAGAGCAAGAAAACCGAGCAGGGGAAACGAACCCAGGTAGTCAGTAGAAGCATGAAAGTAGTGAAAGGAATGCAAGGAGGCAGTGATAACAAGAACGAATGAGTAGAGGAAACCAAAGTTGAAGATAAAAAGCACATGGCACTGCGAATCAGTGAAAGGGGAGGCGATGGTAGCACACAGCACTAGAGCGGCGAGCTAGCAGGCAAGGGGGACGAGGTAAGGAAGGGACGCGGGCGTGAGTATGAATGCATTCTACTCTAACCATCTACAACTCTAGTATGAGCTCAAGCCGCCCCAATGCCATGAGCTACCATCGCCAAACGCCGCTCATCTCTCATTCAACTTTTGAACTTTCAAATATGATGTGAGGAATGATCGCGGTACAAAGTGGACAAGGGCGAACCAAAAGCGGTAATGATGACAAGGTCAGAGTGAGAGGGGACTTAGCCGTATTGGAGAGCTTGCAGCGACAGAAGCAGCGAGGCAGTCATCGTTCCAGTCAGCAGCAGGATCCATTCTGCTGCTTGTATTGCATCTCCGAATGAGAGTTACTCGTTGCTGTTGGTGTCATTTCGACCACCCTCGCATTCGCCTCTGTTACGGCCAGCGTCGGTGCGTGTCGCTTCAGTCGTCACCGTGAGAAGTCACCATCTCGATCGTCACCGTCAGAAAGCATCGCTTTAATCGTCACCGTAAGTATTCGCAATCCTAATCAATCCTCATCTTCACCGACTAAAACGTCACTTCAATCGTCACCATCGGGAAGCGTCGATTCGATTGTGACTTTGAGGTATCGCAATCCTAGTCGTCATCTTCGGAAAGAGTTGCTTTAATTGTCACCGTTAACAAACGCCGTCCTGCTCGTTACCGTTGGAAAGCGTCACTTCAATCATCACCCTTCGAAGTCACAATCTCGGTCGTCACCGTCAGAAATCGTCGGTTCGGTCGTCAGCGTCAGTAATCGTCATCTTGATCGTCACCATCATAAGCGGCCGTCGCTAACCGTTGTTGGAAGTGGCTGTGTCGTTCGTCACCGTCAGGAAACACCCGCTCAATCACCGTTGGCGACGTCTCGGTTTTCGAAGTCCGAAGTACTCACTGCTGACCTCTTACAATCAATCGCCGTGTAAAACAGCTGTCGCCGGCAGGATATCGGCCTCGGTCATCACAAAATCGAAACGTTTCGCTGCTGGGGAGTGGCGTCGCCTCGGTACTTAAAGGAGCGTATGGAGATCGGAAGAAGATTTATGAGGCATCTCGGCAAACCCCTCTGTTCCGCGCTCGTCAGATGCCTAGAATACTACTGATTTGTTCTGAAAACTGGAATCATTAGAAATCAGAACTGCAGTCAAGAGAGTAATTGCTGGATGGCGGAAATGAAACTGCTCCGAATGACTACAATTTTTAAGCTTCGAATGTGTCTGTCCGACAATCAGACGTAAAGCTCGGTTTACTTCTTAACGATGACTACGACTAAGGTTACTGGTTCGCGTCAGGAGACACAGCCATGAATTGCAACGATCAGTGATTTCCGTCTTGACGAACTTGAGATAAACGTATCTGAAGATTACGAGGACTAAGGATACGAGTGAGAACCATTCATGGTAAACAGAATGGCGACCGCCATGGATTTCGGCTTAGCAAGCTTCTCCTCGAGAACTCCATGAGTGAAGTGCTCTGACGATGGTTATAAGGAATGGCGTTCAGGGAAGCTGGAGAATGGATTTCAGAAAGGGAAGGTGACCATCAGTGAAAGAAGCAATGTTCAGAGGTAAAAACCAGGGGATCTAGTCGGATTCAGAGTTGTGAAGAACGATTCACAGAAACGATTATCCATTTCCCCTGCTCGGGTAGAGGGCGCCGCACCGTTGGCAGAAGGTGGCGCATTTTCGTGAGAGGCTTGACGACGAAGATACCCCTTTCGTTAGCTAAAGCTACGACTCGCGAAATATCGGATTGAGTTTTGCGAAAAAAAAATCCTCAGATTGAGTTTCGCCGTTCGCGCGGGAATTGTCTGTCAGAAGCATGCTTCTGACACGACGACGCGATGGCCCAGCATGATGGGTCATGATGCGTACATATGTGATGGTTCTCGATCTTCATGCTCCTTTTCTACTTGGGTACACCAGATTGATCGAACGGCCGAGCGCAACTTTTGCTCCCTCCCAACCAATGTGCGAGTGCGACACACAAAACGAAGCCTGTTTGTACCTGGAACTATTGCAACCGATATACCATGATCCCTCGATTCACCTATACCTGATCAAATCTATACTGATGAACAACACTTGATGGCAGGACAGTTTCCAAATGCAGGTCAAATGGGGTATTCTGCATGGAGACGAATAGATGTTTTTGTTCAATAATAATAATAACAAGAATGGCTAACACTCCCCAGGTGTCCAGGGCTCCAACCTAGAGTCAGATTTGTTGGCTTGGGACCGCATGGTAAGGACAGGTTGCACTTAGATGAAACAATACACAGACTTAACTTCAGATCCACATCCATACATAGCACACCATGAAGTCACAGAGTGCGTGCACCCTCAGTCTACTTCCTACCTTCATCTGCCTTGCACAGTACTTACTACCCAACCAACCCCATAATACCGCCCATCCACTACCACCCTAGGGCAACAAGTTGTTGCCACCACGCCACACTCCAATCTTCTATGTACGGCAATGCACAGCAGAGGAAGGCAGGAAGAGCTGAGACTGCAGCGCCGTTACCAACCGCAGCACTCCCCCATGACCGCACTTTCAGCTTCCAAGGCGTGTCATGAGAGCTGTTGCTTTTACTGCACCCGTTTAGAAACTCCCTGAAAGACGCACTCTAGAGGTCAGGAGGGAGCAGAACGGACGACACGACGTGCACAGCAAGGGTATCGCCAACATACACATCGCCAGACACCAGCACAGACGGCATCAGGTCCTTGCCCTTGAGCATCACCACGGGGATGATCTTAGGCGTCAGCTTCGTGATGGCTTTCCCCTCCACGGTGGGGATCTTGGCGTTGCGGGCCAGGGCCTGGAGGTCCGCAGCGGTGTAGAGACCCGAGAGCAGGTGGTACAGGCGAATCTTGTTCGCCTGGGGGAGCGTGTAGGCGGGCAGCGCGGCGGGGCTGAGCGAGGCGAGCGCTGCGGGGACGAGGAGAGTCACGTTGCCGGTGGAGTCGTCCAGCTTCATCAGCCTGCGGACTGGTGGGGTGGCGGAGGGGGAGGGAGGGGCAACGCGAAGGAGAGAGAGCGGGGATGAGGTTAATGGTAGTGCGGGTACTAATGCGTTTCTATTTGTGCGGGACTGACAGAAAGGACGTCTCACTAGTGCGGGAGACATGGAGCACGTGAAAGGACGACAACGAGTACAGCGCGACGGAACGCGACACTCACACAGCGCTTCGGCAGCAGGAAGAGTCGCGGCCGCGATTCGCGGCGACCGTCTGATCGCCTTGATGGCCTTGATGAACTCCGTTGGGTCTATCCGCGCCTCGGCCACGGTTGCCGCGCTGACGAGGACGAGGAGGAGAAGGGAGAGGAGCTTGACGGACGCCATGGCTGGAGTGAGTGGATGATTCTACGGGATTAAGTTCGGTAAGATGTCTAGCTCGAATCGCAGTCGGCGACTATATTCGAAGGTAGAGCGTAGGATAGAGTAGGATGTTTTGAAAAAAATGGTAGTTGTCCAATGCATTTCTGTCTGTCCACTCAACACGGACAGGTTTTGTACCTCGCAGCTGCACGTCATGCCGCGAGTCGAAGAAAACAAAGGGTGCGTCATACACGCAACGGCGGAGGGTTGAGGAGGACAGCCGGGAGACTGGTCTAAGCTACAGTAACCGCGTCGCCCTGAGGGAACGACAAAAGTGTTACACACGGCGCCCAAATTTGTACGAATATAGGCGCCGCAGCTACGCGACGAGGTGGTTGGTGGGCGTACCTCTAAGAGCGCGCCACTGTACGTGTCTAGGCATGTCTACGACTGTCGGAATTCATCAGAGTTTCAACACTGAGGTGAGGACATAGCAGTCGGTGGATTCTCCTTCGCTGTTCTGAAGAAAATCCAGGAAATTCCAGATCCCTCCATTCCCATGTTGTACCCTCCTTCCGATCTGCCCAACCCAAGGGCTGGGCTGGGGTGGATGGAAGATGTGTTGAAGGGGGAGACAGAGATGGTTTGGTGGAAGGGGAAGGTGGAGCGGGGCTCGATTGTTCGGTTTGGATGGGCCGCGGTTTTCGGTGGCTTGGTGTGGTAGGGGGAAAGGGGATGCGGCTTTTCTTTGATTGGTCGAAGCAGCCCCTACGGAACTTCGCGACCCGTAAATTTCGTCTCAAGGTGCTCCCAATCAGCTTATAGCAGCAAATGAAGATGTGCAATAGTTTCCTCTGCAGTATAATAAAACGGTCACTTGTTTGCGCATAGAGATTTCTCGGAAGTTCTTTAGCATTTCCCACCACCTCTATATGGTTTCTTTTAGTGCTGGAATTTACAGGCTATGTTGTTGCAGGTGTAGACTCAAAGTTTGGTTTCTGTTTTCAGTGGACGCTACAGCAATAGCGAGCGATGTTCAAACTGCATCATAACTGGACCTCTAGAGATTACTCGTCAGGTTGACAATCTCAAGGGCCATTCCGTTGCTTGTCAATGCTGACAATCTCAAGGGCCATTCTGCTGCTGAGACTGAGTGGATTCGCCGCAAGCCCTCGAGAATAGCTGCGCAGCTGCTGTTGGCTAACCATCGGGATTCGAAGTGGCGAAAATGCAGTGGTCTCTCTGCGACTCATTGTCTGGCTCAAGGCTGACCAGAGCCTTGAAAAGAGCTAGAAACGACCATATCAAGGATTTTCAGCTAATTGGTTTGCTGCAGCTACAGCTAGGATGGCGAGTCGGAGTCAAAGGCTGACTCAATTGGAGCTCTTGCTGTTCCTTTTACTCCAGTGGAGGCTATGCGCTTCACAGGTCACCAATGTTGACGAAGGTAACAAGGAAACTTGGCTACGAGTTGGGAACTTCCGCGATTGAAATACACCGCGCGTGCACGTGCTCATCCGTGTTATTGTGTATTTAATGTGGCAGTCGCCGCGCTGACAGCAATAGGTGGAAGCTTTGGGTGGCCCAGCGCATTGGAGACGTGGAAATGGGCTGATCCGTGTTCTGGAGGAGCGTTACCTGGAGCTACCGTGGGGGCGTCTGGGGGGTCATGGCGGGGTGTGACTTGTACCTCCAACTCCAATCCGCGTCACGTGATTGGCTTGTGCGATTCTTATATTTCGATTATCATTCACGAGTTGTTTGGCCCTGAAAGGCTCACCTAACAGTTCTTCCGTAACAGGAATATTACTTATGCTGGCCTTCAGGGACCTCTTAGCAAGGCCGTGGGTGACTTGGATGCGCTCCAGTTCCTGTAAGTCGTCTTTACGCCCCCTACGGAACATAAGTTTTGTTATTAAGATTCGAGATTATGCTTCACGGATTTACATGTTGCTCTCTCGCGCGATCTGTGGACTAACTTATTTATTTCTTGCAGAGTGATGTCTGGCAATTCAATTCAAGGAAGGATGCCTGATACCATCACCCAGCTGAACAGCCTAAGCCACCTGTGCGTGAACTGATGTTACAGGATGGTGTCGAAATCAGATGAGATGATACAGCAAAGCTTCATCAGAAATTGTTGTTCGCATTTGAAAACAGTGCTAAAACATTCTTCTGCGTCTCACAGTGACTTGAGTATGAATCCACTCACCGGCGAAATTCCTCACGGAGTTCAACAGCTCGCTGGCCTTAGACATTTGCAAGCCACCTGACAGCATATTCCGTCCATGCTGCTGCATTGTCAATTTTCTACCTTCCTGCTACCGTTGTCCCTGCTGGGGTGGCGCAGTGTTGAGAAATTTTGTGACTGCGTGATGGATGCAGGGACTTGTCTCAATGTCAACTTCAAGGCACCATGCCTCGCCTGGGCTATCTTACTTCACTCACTACCATGTGAGCATACTTCATCTCTTACAATGCTCCACGCGTTACCATGCGCTTACCGCATCTGCTTTCACGAGCTAACATCTGCGTTTGCTTGATGTCTCTAGAAATTTGAGCGGCAACCATTTGGCGGGTTCCCTGCATGCCAAGATTGGTGAAATCTCTGGACTGGTGTACATGTGAGAGAGTCCTTCACAACAGCCGATCTCACGTATCTTCTCTCACGGAAGGGCTTGTAGCTGGACAGGATTGCTAACACATTGACCAATTCAATTCTAGTACAGTAGGATTTACTTCCCTTACTGAATTGATAATTCAGCTGATTCCGCTCCGTGCTCTTGCTCAGGGACTTAACCTCCAACGGCCTGGAAGAATCAATTCCAGCTGAGATTGGAAAGCTCAACCGACTTCAATTCCTGTAAGGGTGCCCGCAGGAAGCAAGAACACCGTTGACAACATATTGTCAACGTTTTCCTTCAGTGTGTCTCTTCTAAATGGATGCTCAATCTTGCCTTTGTTTTCTCAAGTGTGGCCAACATTATGAATAACCATATGCTGTGTGATCGCTGCTAACCTCTGTGTCACTGACCACCCCCCAACACGCCTAACGTTGGCAACACTTGATCGACTCGGACGCATGGCACCAAGCAGTCATTTAGGCAGCAACACTTTCGATGGGACGTTGCCTGAAGAACTGGGTCAGCTGACCAACTTGAAAGAGCTGTAAGGCCGTGCAAGCCACCCGCCAGTCCCTGCCAAAGTGCATGACTGCAATTCCATAAAGTCTTCTACCTCGCATCTCCAAGTTGGCTGTAGATTCCCATACGTCCATCCAAACCGCTTTCCACTTGTCCCATTTCCCGCTGCTCCATGTCCTGACTCCTCACCTGCAGGGTGCTGAGCTCGAATCGTCTTACTGGCACCCTCCCAGCGTCCTTGGGGAACATGCCACAGCTACAGCTGCTGGATCTGCGTGGGAACCAGTTCCAGGGAACCATTCCCGCCTCCTACTTCCGCATCCCAACGTTCTTGTGAGTGGGTGGGATGGGGTTGATCATAAGAGCCATAAGTTCTGAAACGTCATAATAGCCACTTTTGTTGCCGTGGCTGTATTGTTCATCCATAGACTTGCGGTCAAGATGCGCTAGCAACTTGACACCACATTGTGAGTGATGTTTCCACCCCTTAGCAACTGTTTACTGCTACAGCGCTTCGTTTTTCCATCGCTTTTCGTTCCAAGATCTGTTATCTTACTGCATCTCTTGTCCTGCCTTGTCAGGTTTGATGGAGACTTGAAGATCCCATCATCAGGCCTACCACCGCCGCTCCTCCCGCCACTCCCACCCCCGCCATTGCCTCTAGCCCCTCTGCCTTCATCCAAGCGCCCCTCAACCAAGAAGCGCTCTTCTCCACCTCCCTCACCCCCACCCTCGCCTCCCCCTTCTCCTCCTCCACCGTCCCCTCCACCTCCCTCCCCCCCACCATCCCCTCCTCCTCCCCCCCCACCTTCTCCCCCTCCCCCTTCCCCTCCTCCATCTCCTCCTCCTCCATCCCCTCCTCCTCCATCTCCCCCACCTCCATCTCCCCCCCCTCCCTCTCCTCCTCCTCCATCTCCTCCCCCGCCATCTCCTCCTCCGCCTTTTCCCCCTCCTCCATCTCCTCCCCCTACTCCCCCCCCATCCCCACCATTCCCACCCCCACCTCGCCCCCCGCGCCCTCGTTTCCCCCCACCATCACCCCCACCGCCCCCCTCACCGCCCTCCCCAGCGCTACCACTCATCCCTTTCGTGCCTCCAGCCCCATCCGTGCCTGTACCATCTCTGGACCTCGCCACTCCGCCAGGCTGCTCGCCTTGCGCTGACAGCTGGGTTGCACGCAAGGTGTCATCGGGTGGGGTTCATGGGGTAGCGTGCACGTGTGTGCAGCCGGTGGTGGTGGAGCTTCGGCTGTCAATGGAGTTTCGCCGCTTCAACTCAGCGTTCAAGCAGGTGTGTTTGCACAACAATAAAAATTGTAATTACATGTCAGCTAAGTTAGTTCCAGTGCCTGTTGTGTCGCATACTGGATGCTCCTCATTCTTTTAAAACCTCTGACGAATTGAGAAACCGGTAGCAGTTTTTCCTCCGCCCCGTCCCCCACCCCCTCCTTTATTTCCTGCTTTCCCTCCCCCTTCCCCCACTTCACTGTTTCTCCTCCCTTACCTTCCAATTAGAGTCTACAACTGCAGCTGGCTCGCTCATTCGCCGTGAACGCGACTCAAGTCCTCATACCCTCCATTCGTCCCGGCAGCGTCATCGCCCTCACTGCAGTGCTGCCTCCTGCCCCCGCCACACACTTCTCCAATGCCACCCTTGACCAATTCTCCACCGCCCTGCAAACCGCACTTGCACAGTCCACTAACGCAACTGCTGGCGGAGCTGCTGCTGCTGGTGCAGGGACAGGCCATGGTACGAGCACGGCTGAGCCTTTGGGGCTTCGAGGGTTCGGAAGGGTGGAGGTCCTGGGTTACTGGATCCCCGGTTACACCCTTCCCACACCAAGTAAGTCTCACTCGTGTACTCATGGCTGACTGTAAATTCCTGATCATTTCCTGATCATTCTACCCACACATTGACGAGCCAGTGCAGGATACTTAAAGGTTTGCTAGAGATGAATCTATCTATCCTTTTTCGTTGATGTACCCTCCCAACAACCCCACACCATCCACTTGTTGCTGCATCCCTATCGCTGGTGTCCAGGCACGAGCAACAGCGGGAGCCCTTCCGCCAGTGAGCAACACCCTGCCAACACTAGCAAGAGCAAAACAATGGCCATAGCGCTGGGCGTGGGAGTGCCAGTACTGGTGCTCCTGCTGCTCGGCATAGCCTGGTGCCTGCTGCTGCGCACCCGTTTCTCCTGCCACAACCCCCTCTGGTCCCTCCTTCGCTGCTGTGCGACTAGCAGCAGCCGCAAGGGCAGCGGGGCCGACTCATCCTGCTGGGGGGTGTGGCGTGGGGGATTCTCCAAGGGCTGGTGGGGGCGGAAAGCGGATCAAGGGGCTGCAGAGGGCGAGAAGGACAAGGAGAAAGACGAAACGGTTCGCGGCAGAGGAGGGATGCTGAACGGCAAACCGTTCACATCTGAAGGTGTGTGTGGCAGAGCATGTTGCTTGCAAGGACCAGCCAGCCGTGCTGCTAACTGTCTTGCTGCCAGACAGCCCAGGGCCTTAGGAGGGGCTCGTTGCAATTGCTATCTCCTGAAGTTGTGCCAAGCCTCTCCCACTTCCCGTCGTCCCTACCCCCTCTTATCTGGGCAGCACCAACTTATTTCTGGGAGACCAAGCTACGGCACTCGCACAAGAACCAGCGTGCAGCAGTGCCTCCGCAGGACCCTAGTGCACATGGCAGGGCGACAGGGGAGTCCAATGCACGCGAGTTCTCCCTGCAGGAGCTCTGGGCTGCTACAGATGGCTTTGCTCTGAGTGCACGCATCCAGGAGGGGCCGTTTGGGCCGCTTTTCAGTGGCAGGCTGGCAGATGGCTCGGTGAGTGGCTCACATATTTACACCCGCTGCTGTACCTTGGAACTGCATACACGCATGAATTCCTTTCCATGGAATGGAAGCAACCAGGCACTAAAGAAAGATCCAACTTCACATTTCAGTTTCGATCATGTAAGTACAGGAACACCCCCCCCACCTCTCTCCCCTGCCTTCGTACTCCTCCTCTTTCCACCTCTCTCCCACACCTTGGCCACGTTCCCCCTCTCCGCCATACAGCCAGTGGCAGTGGCACGGCTGGACCCGTCACCCCAGGGCGGATGGTCAGAGGAGCAGGTGCGGCAGGCAGCGCTGCAGCTGGCGCCCCTCCTGCACGGCAACCTGGTGCCTCTGCGTGGGTTCTCTGTGGACGGGGGAGAGAGGCTGCTGGTGCTGGATGACTTCTGCTGGCGCGCTGGCCACCTGGGCACTCTTGCATGCGCTCTGCACCACCCAAGCTCCTCCTCCTCTGCTTTGCATGGCACTGATGGCGGTGGTGAAATCGTGGCTGGGTCTAGTGGTAGCACCTGCTTTTTAAGCTGGGATGCAAGAGTGGAGATTGCTATTGGCTGCGCTCACGCTCTCAGGTAACCTTGAACGCCTGCGGAATTTCTGGCTTTCTGTCTGTCTTTACTCAGATGGCTTTTCTGTTGTCACGCTGGCCAGCCTCGTGCCTTTCCCACCCGTTGTACCAGTTTCAATGTACCCTTTATTCACAAAAGCTTCTTTGCCATCGCCCCTCTAAGCTTCCTCTTTCGCCCTGCTTCTCTTGTTCTGAGCCCCTGTCCCTCCCATACCTTCCCCTTGCCCCACTGCCCCCTTTCCCCCCCTGCCAACACCCCCCTGCCCCCTGTGCGTGCAGGTACCTGCACGAGGACTGCCGCCCGCCCATCGTGCATGGTGCCATCTCCTCCTCGCTCATCTTCCTTGACGCGCACTCCCTGCCTCACATCGCCCATGCTGGCCTCGCTCCCCTGCACGGCGCCACCGTTTCCACCTACGCTCATGTCAGTGATCCTCTTTTCCCTCGTCTTTCATTCCCAATCGCCTTCCACTGCTCCTCCCATTGGAAATAACTCCCTAGTTAGTGTTAGTGTTAGTGTTAGTCTGCCAGTAACAACGCAACGCTGCTGCACCCTGCCTATAGCAACTATATGTGTACCAGCCCTGCCTAGACATACCAAATACCCCCAGCAGCTCTTTCACAGCTGCGCCCATTGCTCTGTCTTCCTCCGCCCTATCTTCAGACGGACCAGCTGGTGGGGGCGTTTGCGTACAGCGCACCAGAGCATGCAATGACAGGCGTCTTCACGCCCAGCAGTGACGTGTACAGCTTTGGAGTGGTGCTGCTAGAGCTCCTCACAGGCCGCAAGCCCGTCGATCCGTATGTGTGCTGCTCTCTCTGCGTTGTGCCACAAGCCGCTCCTCACTTGTCATCTGCTCTTCTTTCAACCTCTCCTTCTCGAAAGCATGCCATGTCGATTTCCCGGCTATCTCCCTCCCCCCCCCTTCCCAACTCTCCCTTGTTCTTCATCTGACCTTGCCCTCTTGTTCATTACAACTGGCAAGCTCCCTTCGCTTACTCAGCTTCTCTTTCCTCTAAAACTCCCAGTTCCACCCTAACTCTCCTCCTTCCCCTTCTCCAATCCTATACCCATCCACCAGGTCAAAGCCCAAGTCACAGTCTTCCCTTGTGCGCTGGGCTGCTCCTCGCCTTGCCTCTGCCTCGGCGCTCCCGTCGCTCCTCGATGCGTGCATGCCTGGCCACCCTCCATCGTCCACCGCTCTCCTGCACTTCGCCCGGCTTGCCTCCCACTGCATTCAGGTGCCTTCAACCTGCCTAGTTCACTTTCTTACTCCCCTCTACTTCCTTCGCTCATTTTCCCACAAGTTCCCCTTTCCTTCCTTGCACATCCCCACTTCCCCCACTCCTTTGCGACCCGACCCTTACTTTACCCGCCCCACCCCCACTCCCCCCACCCCCCGTTCTTGCATTCTTCCATTTTCCTTGCCCTTCTCCCTCTTCAACCCCTCCCGTGCGTTCTGTGCAACAGTTTCTGCTATTCCGATTCCCCCGTTCCTCCCATTTCTCACCCATTTTCCCCTGTATACGACCCACACAGCCCGAGGCCGAATTCAGGCCCACCATGGCCCAGGTCATAGCAGAGCTCTGTGGCAGTGTGCGCACTGCTGTGCCCTCCGCCCCCCCGTTGCCTGCCTTGCTTCCCAACCGCGCGGCTCGCACTGCCTCGAGGTTCGGCAGAGGAGCCGGTGGTCGGGAGGAGAGGAGAGTGGCACCGGCACCGGTAACACAGGAGGCTGATGGGGAGGATGGCACGATGGCTCGTGCATCCACTCTCAACTCAATACAGTACTGACATTGACAGCCACTGCGTTCAGGAGGACTTCTTGAAATGAGTGCACTTTTGTAACTGTAATCCTTTTTCCGTCGCCATGTTCATATTGCCAATACCGGGCATAGTGCGCTCAGTATGCACCCTGGAGGAACTGCCTATGCCAGCCTTGCAGGGGCCATCCCAGCCCTGTGAAATGTATTACGGTAATATGGTCGCTAGCTTTGAGGTCACAGGAGGGCATCAGGCTTTAGAAATGAATACTAATGTTTCACTGATTCAGAGAACAAAGCACCGCAGTAAGCAATTCGGGAGGTATTATGGACACTAGGTTTGCAGTCCGTACTAAGCTGCTGCTGGTCTAAATCTCACAGCTCCAGCCCCCATTACTCCGAGCTTGAACGGCACTTGGTGCGACAATCGGGTAAGGCAGTAAGTTGTGGGAATGGCTAACACGCGCGCCGAGCATAGCGGCACGAGGACCTTTCGTCTGCCCGACCTACCTCCAGAAGTCATAGAGCTCGTTCTGATGTATCTCGAGCGACCCGCTGACGTGGCACGAGCAATGCTCGTCAGCAGCGCTTGGCGCGCCGCCATCTGTGCGATCCGTCAGCCGTGCAGCTCCCGCTGGTGGCCGATCGCAGGAGTCGCATGCCTCTGCGACTGCTGGACGAATTTGTCGCAGCTCGCACTGGCAGCGGTAACGAAGGCGACGACGCGTGCGACGACGCGTGCGACGACGCTGCGATGCTGGCGAGCAGCGACATGATGTGGCACGGCCGGGCGATGGAGCCGTGCCCGGTGGTGGGGCTGGGCGCGTGGGATGATGTCGCGGGGAATGATGGCGCGAGGGGGGATGGCGCGAGGGGGGATGGCGCGAGGGGGGATGGCGCGCCGGACGCGCTGAGGGACCAGTGGTCCTGCGCGCTGGTACCGCGCTTAGAGGCCCGCGCGCGACAGCTCCACCGCGCCCTCACGTCCTTCCACGTAACCATCGCGACTCGGCGCGCTGTGCCGTTCACGCCAAGCGACCTCTCGCGCCTGCTGCTGTCCCTCGCCGCGCACTGCCCGTCGCTGCAGCGGTGCGTGCTTCAGGTCAAGGTGTCGGGGGAGACAGGGTGGCGGGGCGGCCGCGGAGGTCATGCTACTTGCGAGGAGGTGGAAACGGGGGAAGCGGCGGAGGCGGAGGCGGAGGCGGGGAGTGCTAACAGCAGAGGTGCCGAGCGGATGGGGAATAGCGTGTGTGCTGCCCTCCGCGCGTTGCTCACACAGTGCTCCGCCTTGCGCTCCCTCCACTTGCACCACACCTCCCTCACTCCCCACCTCTGCCTCCCCGCCTCCCTACCCGCCCTCGCCCCGCGCTTGGAGCACCTCTCCCTCCCGCTCCCCCACATCCCGCCATGCCTCTTCCGCCTCTCAAGCCTCCGCTCTCTCTCCCTCACCCTCTCGCCCCCTATCCAGCCTCAACTCGCGTCCGGCTCCCCTTTCGCCCTCATGACTCGTCTCTCCTCCCTCTCCCTGCATCTCGACCTAGACGTTCATGCCCACCGCGACCCTCCCCCGCATCTTTTCCTCCGCATGCTCCTCTCGCATTGCCACCCTGCCTGCATCCCCCCCTCCACGCTTCCCATCTCACCGGACCTGTTCGCCGGGCTCGGCCTGATCCTGCGCCGCCTGTCCCTGCGAAGCATGAAGGTTCGGGGCTTCTGTGAGGACTGGCCGCCGGTGAGAGTACCCAGAGAGCACTGCCTCGCGTCCCTCTGGTCTCTCCATTCACTCACACAGTTAGACACCAACCTGTGGGTGATGGACGGTGACTGGGGTGAGGAAGAGGTGCAAGAGGGCCTGGGCCAGGGCTTGGACGAGAGAAGCAGAGATGGGGACGTGGATGAGGATGAGGACGAGAAAGAGATGAGGTCTTGGAGACGGGAAAGGTATGAGCCGGGGGCAGGAGATCCATGGGACAGAAACAGAGGGCCAGGCCCATTCTCCCTCTACCGCCCGCACAGCACCCTCGGTCCGTGCCTTGCTGCATTGCACTCCCTCACATCCCTCACTCTCTCTCTCCACTCTGTGGTCCCCACAGCACTCTCCCATCTCTCCGCGCTCACTCGTCTTGAAATGCCCGCAGCAGCGTTCGACCCACACGGGGCCATTCTCTCTCTGCCCACCCTGGGTCATCTTGACGTTGCCATTCCAGACATCTCCCTGCTGCTGCCCTCCCACAACTCATCACCTCGTGCCGATGCGACCGGCTCTGTTGGTGCATCGTCCTCTCGCCTGTCAACTGCCATAGGGGCAGTTGCACCAACAGGCACAGACGCACATGCCACGCACACCACCTCCTCCTCCTCCGCCACCACCACCGGATTGCATACCCTAGTGCTTCGCTCCACCGGTCGTCTCCGCATTTCTTCCACCACCTTTCCATATCCGTCTCTTCTCCACCTGGAGCTCCGCTCACTGCCCTCTTTGCTTTGGCTCGACCCTCGCGATCGCCCCATGCCGCCTTCCCGCTGCCTCTTCCCCAACCTGCGCTCGCTGCTGTGTGCGGTAAACGGCTCCAGGGGTGGAACAGAAGTTGATGTGGCAGCACTCCCTTCACTCACGCACGTGTCGGGTGGCCCGTGCCTCTTGCGCACAGATACCACCCCGTCACTCTACCCTCGCCTGCAATTCCTGCTTCTGAAATTCACAGAACCTCCATACCCCCACCCGCTCCTCTCTTCCTTTACACAGCTGCGCTTTCTCTGCCTGGGAATGGCCGGGTTGCCATGGCAAACGGCCCTGCTCCCTGCCCTCAGCTCGCTGCCGCTCCTGCGCACGCTCCGCCTGGAAAACATATACACAGCCATGCAGTGCTGTGTGTTTGACACGCCCCTTCCCCTCACAACGCTGCAGCTCTGCAATGCACACCTAGAGTCCGTGCACCCATCCATCGCCCTCCTCACACGTCTCACTCGCTTGGATCTCCTCCGTTGGATCGATCTGAATTGCCTACCAGAGCAGCTGACAGCACTGACGGCACTGCAGAGCCTGGCAGTGAGTGGGTGCCGTAGGGGAAAGCCTGGTGTACCAGAGTGCGTTGCACACATGCTGCGTGGCAAGACGTGGTACTTCCCCCCTCCAGGGTGCAATACTGTGAACAACATTTCATCTTTCTAAACTGCAGCTCTTCTTGCTAGTCCACCTTCGAGGTGAGTGTGACTACTTATAGTACACCATGGTGCATGGACCAGCGGGTCTCTGTCGAATACTTCTAGTCTATGCTTTACTGAATCTTTATGCAAAATAAATTAAATATACGGTATTTGCAGCAGACGGTCCTTCTAACCTAAGGAGGTGAAGCAGGCTTCCTGAAACTCTCCTCTGTACAGATGGGGCTCAGCACAGCAACTGCAGGAACGCCAGATTCCCTCTTTAGATCAACTCCCTTGTCTTGTCCTACAACCGTCTCCCTCCCCCTGCCCCCTTATCCATCCTACCCATGAGTTAGTCGCTACCTCTCTGCTACCCAGCAACGCGCTCCCTTGTCAGGCGCATCACGACTCTCCCCCCCCCCCCCCCTTCCGTAGCTATCTACTCGCGAGCCACGCGTTTTCAAGCTGCTGGTGCACGCCGGGTCCGAAGCACCGCGCGCGCGTGATGGAGAACCGCGTCGCGGTCAGCGACGACGCCGCGGAACACCTAGTCGTCTTAAGAATATAGCACGCGTGACGGTGGCTCGATCGCCCCAGCACCACTAGCCCCCACACGCCCGTCTGACACACGTTTCCGGGTCCCGCGGGCGGTAACGGCTGCTCCACCACGCCCGCCATCTCGTCGCCGTATCGCCGCGTCAGGTCCGTCGGATCTAGCCGGTGCACCAGGATGAGGCCGTCAGGATTGTCGCCGGCGACGGTTTTTCTGACGGTCGACCAGCTCTCAGGGTGCTCGACGACGCCTTCCGGTAGCCGTTGGAATGCCGTGCTGGGAGAGTGGTGTAGTGCCGAAAGGGCGTGCTCGTGTGCGGGGTGATCGTGCGCGGTGTGCTCGTGCCCGGAATAATCGTGCGCGGGATGCTCGTGCGCGGGGTTCTGGTGCGCGGGGCCGTCGAAGATAAGGTGGAAGAATGGCGCTTCGTCCAGGTGGCCGATGATCTGGCAGGGAGGACGATGGTACGCGGAGAATTAGGTGATTGATTTGGTTTTCGGACGGGAAACAGGCGACGGAGAAAGAAAAAAACCGCACGAGAACGCCGCGAGGCTGAGGTTACAGAATGAGATCGGCGCGGCGGAAGTGAGCGCGAAGAGGCAGACAGAGAGTCTACGAAAAACGTCGAGTACAACGTACTCATCCAATCACTGATAACCTGTTCAATCCCTCTCCCCATACGTACTGTTTCTACTCGTTACTCTCCTCACCTCCGCGGCCGATCGTTGCAGCCATGACTCCAGCCGCTCTTTCGTCACTTCTGGCCCCGCGCTGGCGCAGTCATCCGCATGCACCAGCGCGTCGCGGCTCGCGAGCGCTAGCTCGCCAGCCACCGCCGGCAGCGCGAACAGCGGCCCTGTTGACCGCGACCGTAGCGCAGCCACTGCGATCCGCGCACGACGCCGTGCTGGAGCCGCAGCAGCGATTCGTCCCGTCGCTCCCGACGATCCCGCCGTTCTCGCTCTCTGAAGCCATCGCCTGTCGATAGTCATAAGGTCGAGCCTAGACGCGATGCGTGAAAGAAGAGATAAAGAATAATTATGTGCGAATTGGAAGTGAGCAGTGGAAAGAGGGAGATCTCGTAATGCGTGTCATGCAAAAGATAAAAAAAGCGAACGCGTGAAACAGGTAGTGTGGCCCGTGGCGTGAAACTAATAATTTTACCACTCCTACCTCGACGAGCTTAGGCATGAGAGCAATGATCTGTTGCCGCCATGTACGGCGAGCAGTGACGCCGTAGCTAGGGCGACGGACTCCGACATGATTGCTCTAGCGAGGAGGAGCAATCAGGTCAGCAGCGGCTGCGGTAGCTAAACGTCACCGAGGTGGGCTGGTGGGTGGGGTAGGATAAGAACGTGCAGAAGAACCGAGAAGGAGCTGATCTGTGTTGTTGTTGCATTGCACGGTGGTGGTGGTGGTGTTGTGCTGCTGCGCCGCGCCCTGCCCCTGCGGCTCTGCTCTGCTGCGCTGTGTGTGGTTGTCGTGGCCGTGGTCGCAGCACCGCACCGCGCAGCGCAAGCTGTGTGTAACCGAAGCCCAAATTCCATCCAAACCAAACCCACCAGATTGCGACCAACCAACCTTCGAGAGAGCGTATTTTCGGTTGATGTGGTCGGTTCAGTTGGGTTGTTAAGTTTTGAGCTGGTTAAGGTTGGGTCAAGAAGCGTGTGACTCCAGCGAATCTGGATGATCTCCGTGGTCTCGGGAGGCAGGTCTGCGCGCATTTGCTGAAATTCAAGCGGCGGAACGCTGCCGGAACGCTGCCAGCCGGTTGGCTGCCGGTTATGTACAACACTCACTGCCACTGGCGTTGGGTTGGTTGGGGGGGGGAATTGCTGACCGACGGGTTCAGGTTTATTTCCGTTGGAATCGCGTTACGTGCAATTTCGGTGTTATAGTGTCACGCTGTACACTTCACAGACTCAGAGCGTCGATAACAACAATGGCATGGGGGTCACATGCCTGTTTCTGAAACACACTTATTTTCCCTCGCCTCGCAATCCATGCAATTCTCCCTCAGTGCGATGTCCACATGATTCATTCTATGAGCAACAACTGTTCTTGAATCTCATCTCGTGTCAGAGCATTAGTTTTGAACACCATCCTCAGGCAACTGCTTCCCCTCTACTCCTGTATGTGCCCCCTCTCCCTTCCCCTCTGCAATGTCTCGCAGCACATCTGGAATGTCGTAGTCTATGTGGTTCAATGGCACATGAAAGTCCGCAGCATACGCTTGCCTCACAATCTCAATCGTCTCCTGCCATAGTCACCACAGGACAAGCACGACATGCCGATCGGTCTACACTACGCCACACGATGCCGGTAAGAAAACAACGCTGGCAAACCGAACAGTGCAACTGTGACACAGCAGAGCAGTAAGAAAACAAACAAGCACAAAAACAGAAAAACCTGTTGCCAGCACCCAACCACCCCCCTACCCACCCCTCCCCAGGGTACCTTGTCATAGGCAGCGCGCATCCTCTGCTCCGCACGCGTCTTGTGGATCTGCGACCCGAGCTTGAAGATGCGTGCGGGGTCCACTTGGGAGCGGTTGAGGCGCGTGACGACCCGGCGCACATCGTCGTGCAGGGTCTCAAAGAGCCCCACCTCATCGTAGCGGATCATGTGCAGCCCACACAGCTGCGCCTGGACGGGGGCACGGCAAGGCCCAAAGGAGGGGAGAATGTAAGGGTGGGAGGGTGGAAGTATGAGGTGGATGGGGTTGAGGTGGCATGGCCAGTGCAGTGAAGTGTGGCACATCCAGGCGAAGTGATGTGCATGTGCGCGTGTGTGTGCGTGCGTGCGTACATATGTGCGTGCGTGAACGTGTGTGCGCGTGCATACCTGAGTGGCGATGTGAGCATCCCCATTGCCCCCTGTCTCGCGCACTATATCCGCCACCATGCGCACTGCTGCCTTGAACCCCACTGGTACATCCATCCTCTCCCCATGCTGCTCCAGCCGCTCCCGCCCAAATACCCGCTGCAGGGGTTGACGGGGCACGGCAGAGGAGGGAGAGGTGCAGGTGACATGGAGGAGAGGAGGAAAGGGGAGGGTGATTGGTGGTGGTGGTGGAGGCAGAGAGGTATTGTAAGACAACAGCGAGAGAAGGCGTTCTTTCGAAGTATGCAGCAATGGTAGTTGGCGACTTGAAATCGTTCACCAGTCCACACCCTTCATCTGCCCACCTGCACTCTCTGTACCGTCCTTCCTCCCCACATAACCGACCCAGATTTTTCCAAGCCGTCTCACAAAACTCACTTTCCCCATATTGACCCCTATCCCCCTCTCCACTCACCCCGCCCCGCCCCTCCCTTCCCCTCGCCTCTCCGCCCCCCACCATCCCCCTCCCCCCCCCGCCCACGCACATGGTTCCACAGCGTCACATTGTGCTTCAACCTGGCAATCAATTTCTGATGTGCCTCCCTGCCCCCTCGGCCCACTCACATGGTTCCACAGCGTGACGTTGTGCTTCTCCCCGCCGTTCACCAGCTTATCCGCATGCGCGCTCAGCAGCCGCGAGAACGGGTTCCGCACAAACACAAACTTCACCAGATCCTTCCGGGTCAACTGCCGAATAGCATCGTCCTCATCTAAGTCGCGGTACATGAGCGTGAGTCCGTTGAGGTGTGCGTGGTGCGTGTAGTTGTAGTCTGTGAGGTTGCTGAAGCCGTGTGCGGCGCGCAGCCACATCTTCCAACTCGTGCACGCCACCTTCTCCACGAAGCAGTATATCAGCCCCAGGTGCTCTGGAAGAACGGGGGGTGAAGAGGAGGGGGAGGGGAGGGATAGCGGAAGAAGGAGGGCGAGGGAAATGGGGAGGGGTAAGGGGAGCGGTAGGGAGAGGGAGAGGGGAGGGGGGGTGACGAAGGGGAGGAGGCGGGAAGAGAGGGTGGTAGAAGGGTGGAATGAGTGCAAGGAACTTCCATTCTTATGAAGTGTTAGCCAGAAAAAAGGCAGGATTAGTGGCTGAACTGCAAAAAAAACCTCTCCCAGCAGCAGCAGCAGCAGCAGCAAATGCTGACACTCTCTCTCTCTCCACTCTCTCCCACCATCCCTTCCCCCATCCCTCCCCTTCGTCACCCCCCTTCCCTCACCCCCCACTCCTCCCCCATTCCCCCTCCCCCCCCATCCTTCCCCCATCCCCTTGTCGCACCATCCACAATCATCTGGTAAGCAAAGCGCAGGCTGGCGAGGGGGAAGAGCTTGGGGGACGTGCACACGGGCGCCTGGCGGAAGGGCGGGCCGGCTGCCCAGCGCAGGGCCGTGGCGAGCCCTGTGATGAGCTCCGCCTCTGGGGACAGCGGCACCGATGAGAAGAACGCCGGCGCGTGTGATAGCGCTAGGAACTCCGCCACCTGTGGGGGGGAGGGGAAGGAGGAATGGAGGATGGGGAGTGAGATGGAAAACGCGGAGACTTTTGAGGCGCCTTGAAAAGAAGAAATGAAGAAGGCACGATAAGATGGGCAACGAGGGGGGAAGAAGTACTAGAATGCTTTTGAGAGTAGAGAAATTCTGTCCTTTGGGAGAGAGAGAGAAGGAGAAAGACAAGGGGACGTGGGTGAAAGGTAAGGAGATAGAAGAGGTTGAAAGAAGAGGAGTATGAGTGGGTGAGTGCGGAACAGAAGAGGGCACAGGAAAAAGAAGGCTACAGACAAGGAGTGACAGTGGCGGATTGCAGTTCAATCGGCCGGATTATTGAATAGCTAGCTCTCATGATTCTCACACATCCACGCCTGCTTCCTGAATCCCAACACAACCCAAACTATTTAAGAATATTAAAGGCAAGGCGCTCACCTCCAGTTCAGCACACTCCGCCCTCCTGCCCCCGCCCACCATCCCCTCATCACCCGCCTCCCCTCTCCGTCTCACTCCACTCCCCACACACTGCAGCTGCGCCCTGCGCCTGCTCGCCTCCAGCAGCAGCGGCGTGCGAGACACATGAAACATGCCCACAGCGGCCGCAGCAGCGGAGGGAAGCGCAGAGGCAATGGTGAAGTCGAGGGAGGGGTCTCGGAGGAAGTCGTAGGCGAGGCGGCGGGCCGTGCAGGCGGCGAGGGAGTGGGTGAAGCGGCGCGTGTTGCAGACCTCGCAGAAGGGCGGGATGATCTGAGAGATGTTGGCGGGGCAGCCGGAGCAGGTGTCTAGAGAGGTGTCCTGGTGTGCGGAGGGGAAAGGGATCGGGACGAGGGGTTGGGGACGGGGGTCGGGATCGGGATGGGGATGCGGGGAAAGGGGGGCGGGAGCAGGAAGAAGGAATAGTAATAAGAGTGCTTGCGATCTCTGCTTGTGGTTTAGGTAGGTGGGATAAGGCAACAGGTGTAATGCTCCTCGATGCAGGTAGGACAAGGTGAGAGAGGAGGCGCTGAGCTGAATCGCATGCTGATCATCAGGGCACATCACGGAAAGAAGGGCACCTCGAGGAAAGCGGCGGTGGAGCGGCGCACACGTGGGATGTCCTCTGCTGCAAGCAGGCGCGCCACGGCTTGTGAGGGGTGCAGCGAGTGCAGACACGCCGCCAACTCGTCCGCCATCCAACACGGGTCGTCCGCCTGATGGGCGCAACACAGAGGGAAAGGGTGGGCGCGCGCAGGGGGGGGGTGGTGGTGGTGACGACAAGGAGAGACGGAAGCACGTGAGGGGATGAAGTGCAAACCCACACACCAAAAGCATGGGGAATCAGAAGCGGATTCCGAAAACGAAATATAAAAATTTGCTTGTTTTTGGCACGAAATGTGCCCATGCGGCGCCTATCACCCAGTGCCCTGCCCTGCCCCACCTATTCCTTCGATTGCCTTGCACCCTGCGTGACACTCACCCATCCATCCCACGTGCTGGCTCGAGTGGACACGAGCAGTCTAACGGGCATGCGGAACACCCCACTTGCTGCACTGCCTCCCACTCCTGTCGCCGCCCCACAGTCCCCCACTGACGCCTGGGTGGGCAGCGGAGGAGTGCGGAGGGAAGGAGGAGAGAAAGAGGAGCACAGGGTGACTGGGCAACGCAAACGACGCATAACAAGGCAACCTAATTTCTCAGCATCGGCAGCAGCCTACTGTCCTGCACGCGCATGCATTCAGTCCCCAGGGCCCTTACTGCTTTGTATCTGAAGCCGTGTGGTGGCGACTGCAGCAGCGGCCCTGCAACACACTCGGGTGATGTGTCCTCCACTGCCCACCTGATGTACCGTGCGGATGACATGGGGGTAGTGGATGACATGGGAGAAGAAACGGTTGAGAGAGAGAGAGAGACAGAGAAAGAGTCACGGCGACAGGGAAGGAAGGCGAGCGGGGGGGGGGAGGAGGGGAGGGGGGGGGGGTGGGGCGGTTTGAGGCGGCTCAAAGGGGATGGAGGAAGGGAGAAGAAGCGGGCCCGAGGGAAAGAAAGCCGTGGCGACAGGAGAAGGAGTAGGAGAAAGGAAGAGTTAGTTCAAATAACAGTGACGAGCACAGTGAGCGAGCGAGAGGAGCCGAAGGAGGGAGGAGGGAGGGTTTGCACGGTGAAAGGCGCGTGGGAGCAGACGATAACCACCCCAACCCCAAGGCAGGCAGAGAGACCACACCAACCCACCCCGCCCAACCCAACGCCCATCTCCCCCCCCCTTCCCTACCCCTTTTCCCCCTCCCTCCACACAAATTTCCCCCACCACCTGGCACTCACCGCAGGTCGGGTTTGGAGATCTTGGGGTGGGCGGGGAGGGAGAAGAGCGAGGAGAAGGGAGCGGCGTGCACGGGCGCGTCTGTGAGCCAGAGCACCTTGAGCGAGAACCCCGCCGCCACTGCTAGCGCCTCCATGCCGCACAGCGCCACCACCCGCGCTGCCATGCTGCCCTGGGGGGGCGAGGGGGGAGTGCGGGGGGAGTGGGGGAAGGGAGAGAGTGCAGGGGAGAGGGGAGAGGAGAGTGGGGAATGGGTGTGGGTGCGGGGAGGTGCTTTGTGGCAGGCAGGCCGAGGGCGGCGGAGGGCGAGCGGAAGGATTGTAAGAAACGAAGTGTCGAGCGGGAAGAAGGGGGAAGTGGAGAGCGGAGGGAGGGCGCGCGCGGGGTGAGGGAGGTAGGGGCAAACTCTGAGGAGAATTCACAGGGGAAAAACGGATAAGGGATGATGGGTTAGGGGGGAAGAGGGGGGGAGGGGGGGGGAGGGGGGTAAGGGAATAAGTGGGCGATATACGGCAGAATGAGCGCGATGTGAGAATTGGTGGGTGGGGGCGAGGGGAGAGTGAGACTGCTTCAAGATAAAGGGGTATTTTTTAGAACAATTTCAAATACCCTCAGAGATCGTGCGTGTTCACATGCATGAGGTTCCAACATCTACTCCCAGGGTAGGTGCGCGATACAGTTGGCGACACGGTGGGCGACACAGCGGGCGACAGAGGCGTCGCACGCACCTCGGCGATCAGAACGAGGTCGTATTCGGCCAGGCTGGACGCAGCAGGGCAGCCGCGGTTCGTGAATCTTCTCATCATCTGATCGGGCCGCAGCGCGACGCACGCCACGAGCAGCGCGAGCGCCGCGAGCATGAGAGTGGCGGCGAACGGTCGCTGCTGCGGCGGCGCGTGAAGCACGCGCGGGGTCGTGGGATGGCGGCGGGATCGCGGCGTTGACGGGTGGCGGTAGGAGCGACTACCGGGGCCGAAGAGGATGTGCATGGCGGGCGATGGATGGGCACGGGGCCGCACTGAACGACGGTAAAGGCTCTCTCTTGAGACTATGTCGGCGGTCGGTAAATTCTGGTGAGAAAAACGGCGGTCGGTACTACCACGAACGTCGAGGGTGGGATTAAATCAGCGCCAGGGACCGCACGGCACGGCGCATTTGGTTACAGCGAGACGAATTTTTAGGGGTCTTGGAATAACAGGGTGTTGTTTAGCGGTGCTTAGGTTCCTTGAACATGGATTGTGGGAGGTACGACGGCAAGCTATGGCTCCATGCTTCTTGCTGATCATCGCTGCGAAGGGGCATCGCCATTCTGTGATTCGTCGTGGTTCGTGTGCCTGGCTGTTGCGCGTTTGTTGTGTGAGTGTGCGGATGTAGCTGTTCTTCTCATGGTGGTGGGGTGGTTGAAGGTGAAGGAATGCGCAGGCAAAACAATGGCGCGGACAAAAGTGTTCCGCCAGAATCACGATTCTTTATTGAGAGAAAGCTATGAATACGGTGCCTGGAAAGTAGTTTCTTCTTTCAACTCACAAACTTTCCCTCTACCTTGAGCCAGATAATGTATAATTCAATTGCACCACTAGGTAAAAGTGTCAAATTAAAATTGTATCTCTAGGCTACATTAGGGTCACTCCATAGTGAGTACAACACTTTAGGGTTAGGTTTCCCCTACTTGTACTCACCTCTTGCCTAGTTCACTCATTCATTCCTGCTTATTCTAACATGGTATTAGAGCAGAATCGTTCCTAGGGCCAACCGAACATTCCGCCCTGCCCTAACCGTAAATATTTTCTTCCTACGCTGCCCCTGCGACCGTGCTGCCCCTGCAGCCGTGCCTGCCCCTGTGGCCCACGTGCTGCCCCTGCAGCCCGCGCGTTCGCCCTGCAGCCCGTGGGAGCTGCCCCTGCAGCCCGCGCGCCGCCCTGCCGAGCCGCGCGTTGCCCCTGCAGCCCGTGGGGGCTGCCCCTGCAGCCCGTGGGCGCTGCCCCTGCAGCCCGTACGCCGCCCTGCAGAGCCGCGCGTCACCCCTGCAGCTCGTACGCCGCCCTGCAGAGCCGCGCGTCGCCCCTGCAGCCCGTGGGCGCTGCCCCTGCAGCCCGCGCGCCGCCCTGCCGAGCCGCGCGTTGCCCCTGCAGCCCGTGGGCGCTGCCCCTGCAGCCCGTACGCCACCCTGCAGAGCCGCGCGTCGCCCCTGCAGCCCGTACGCCGCCCTGCGGAGCCGCACGTCGCCCCTGCAGCCCGTGGGCGCTGCCCCTGCAGCCCGCGCGCCGCCCTGCCGAGCCGAGCGTCGCCCCTGCAGCCTGGGCGCCGCCCTGCCGAGCCGCGCGCCGCCCCTACAGTCCGCGCGCCGCCCTGCCGAGCTGCGCGTCGCCCCTGCAGCCAGTGGGCACTGCCCCTGCAGCCCGCGCGCCGCCCTGCCGAGCCGCGCGTCGCCCCTGCAGCCCGTGGGCCGCGCGCAACCCTAAACCCTCAATATATATATATATACTACCACAACTACTGCTGCTGATGGTGGAGGTGCTGTCAGAATGTAATTGTATACATTACTCTATAACTGCCTGTAGTGTATACTTAGTGTAGTTATCTTGCTTGTTAGGTGGTGCACCTTTCTTCTCATGCTTCTTCTTTCATATTTGTACCCTTGAGCCTATAGTGAAACCCCCCTCACTTTGCCTAACTCTCTCGACATTCACCTAGGCTAGGGTTTCTCCTAAGCCTAGGTTCTCCTACTATCCCGACATGCTATCAGAGCGGTTCCTCCTCGGACCGACCATTATGGGCCCACCGTTAGCTTCCGCTATGACGCACCCTGTCGCGCCGCCCGTCTCGCTGTCCGCCTCTGCCCGGCGCCTCGTGCGCCTCTGCCCTGCGCTTCGTGCGCCTCTGCCTGGCGCCTCGTGCGCCTCTGCTCGACGCCTCCTGCTACCTCGTCGCCCGCGGCCATGTCGCCCCGTCGCTGGCCGCGAACGCGAGCACCGACGCCAGCGCCGACGCCAGCGCCGAACGCGGCCGCCAGCGCCAAACGCGGCCGCCAGCGCCGACGCCAGCGCCGACCGCGGCCGCCAGCGCCCAACGCCGACGCGTACACCAGCGCCAGGCGCCAGCGATGTGCGCCAGCGCGACCTGGTGCCCCCCTGTCGCCCCTGCTCCCCGTCGCCCCTCCCCGTTTCATCGCCCTCCCGTGGCGTCCCTCGCGTGGTCTCTGCCGTGCGTGGGGTGGTGGGGTGGTGCCCGAGAGTGGGGGAGGCGGGGGTGGGTGACTCGGCCTCCCCGCTCTTCTCCCTGTCCCTGCATCGGCTGGTGCTGAAGGGGAGGGGGGGGGGAGGGGGTGGCGGGTGTGACAAACCAGCGGCCGTCCCTCCTCTCTCTCTTCCTACCGCCTCTCCTGGGGTGGGGGGCAGGAGGGGGGGGAGGGTGAGGGGGTGGCGGGGGTGACCAGCATGCGCCAGCCCACCTCCTCTCTCTTCCTGCCGCCCCTCCTGGGGTGGGAGGGAGGGGGGGGGAGGGTGAGGGGGTGGCGTTGGAAGAAGGGTGGGGGGAAAGGCTTGAGGTTCCAGGGGGCGATTGACAAGGGGGGCGATTGACAAGGGGGGTGGCTGAAAGGGTGCGTGGAATTAGGGGGTTAGTAAGAGGGGCTCGCCGCGCTAGGCTCCCCCCCACCTCCTCTCCTCCCTCTCTCACCCCCCCCCCCCCTTTGTAAACAGGGGGTTCGTAAGAGGGGCTCGCCGCGTGGCTCCCCCACCTCCTCTCCTCATCCCTCTCTCATCCCTCCCCTTCGTAAAACGGGGGTTCGTAAGAGGGGCTCGCCGCGTGGCTCCCCCACCTCCTCTCCTCATTCCTCTCCTCTCCCCTCTCTCTCTCTCGTCTCCTCCTCCTCGCATTCCTCTCTGCCGTCTTCCGCTGCGCTTGGTGTACCCCTTCCGGGGGTGTTTCTGCACATGGTTCTTCACTGCAGGCAGTTAGGGGGTGTGTCAGAATGTAATTGTATACATTACTCTATAACTGCCTGTAGTGTATACTTAGTGTAGTTATCTTGCTTGTTAGGTGGTGCACCTTTCTTCTCATGCTTCTTCTTTCATATTTGTACCCTTGAGCCTATAGTGAAACCCCCCTCACTTTGCCTAACTCTCTCGACATTCACCTAGGCTAGGGTTTCTCCTAAGCCTAGGTTCTCCTACTATCCCGACAGGTGCTGCTGGGAGTGCTGGAGGTGCTGCTGGTGCTGGAGGAGCTGGAGGTGGTGGACCTACTCCTGACCGTCGCTGTCTGTCATCGCCACTATCGCGGCAGTTGCTGCGGCCAGGGGTGGACAGTAGCGGGCACTGCCTTTCCCGGACGGCCCCACCCCTCAGCAGCTTCGTGAGTGGGTTTTTCAGCGAGGCTGTCCTGGTGGTGGAGGTTATCGTTTTGTTAAGACTGCTGCTCTTGGTGCTAGTGAGTCTGCTGCCACTCCATGTGCTAGTGAGTCTGCTGCCGCTCTAGTTGCTAGTGAGTCTGATGCAGCTCTAGGTGCCCGTGAGTCTGCCGACGCTCTAGGTGCTAGTGCGTCTACTACCACAGGTCCTGCCTCAGCTGAGGTCTTGCACACTTTCACGCTTGACTCAGGCGCGTCACGTTGCTTCTTTCGTGATTGAACCACAGTCACACCACTCACAGCACCTGTCCCAGTCTCACTGGCTGACCCCTCTGGGGGCCCAGTAGTTGCGAGAGCCTCCACGGTCCTCCCTTGTCCAGCAGTCCCCTCCGGCTCTCTGTCAGGTCTCCACCTCCCAACGTTCTCGACGAACTTGGTGAGCAACGCTGCCATTCAGGATGTCTGGGTTGATACCTTTATTCCTGGAGGGCAGCGTGTGGTGATCTGTACGTGCTCCCGGACTGGCCGTCACCTGGCTACGTTCACTCGACAGCCTGGGTCTAGTCTGTACACACTGACCACTGCGTCTGCACAGGTGGCTGACTCAGGACAGGTGGCTGCGTCGAGTCGGGCGTCTGCGTCAGGGCAGTTAGCTGCGTCTTGCTCGTGCAGAGTACTCACGCACGAGACTTAGCGCTGGCACCACCGTCTTGGTCACCCCTCCCTGCAGCGTCTACGCAGTATGTGTCGAAGAGAAAAGGCCCCGCCCTCGCTTGGTCGAGGTAGACCATGCTTCCGGCAGCACAACGGTGTGCAAACGGCTTCGTTTCGTGGTCATCGGCGAATTTGGGGACTTTTATCTGTGTGCGACGAGTCGTCTGTCGACGAGATTAATTGTTGAGGTAGAAGTGTTTCTTTTGCTCGACCAAAGTGCCCGTCGACGAGGTGCTTCTCGACGGGAGTAAATCGGCGTCGAAGACGAGTTTCGCTGGTCGACGGAATTGGCAGAATTGGCGTTTCGACGGATCGGTGGTCGACAGAATTGTGCTCGACGAGTGCATCGTCGAGCAGAGCGTTTCAGGTCGACCAAAAGGACTTGTCTCCGAAATTCGCAATGTACGCGAATTTCGACCAATCGCGAAACAGCAAATTTCGACCAATCAGGTAATCTCGGAAATTGTACTCCCCAGGAGTTTTCGAATCTGCTAAGGAACAGAACCTGAAACACGTTTTTGCTAACTGCAAAAACCTATACAACTCTAAATGTTGTAAAACCTGAGCAACTGCCAAGTCAGGTGAAAGGTGCATGTGCTTGTCGTTTCACCTGCCGTTGCTGACTCGACAGAGTCAAGTGTATGCCGAGGAACGTTCTCTTCAGGGTTCTGTCTTCTGCTATTTGGTTCTCTTTGCTTGTATTCTAATCTTGTTCTATCAAATTTTCTTAGTGAAAGTATGCTTGAATTCTATCAAGGCATTCCAACACTCTGTCAAGAATCACTGCCAGAACTCTGACCGTGCGTCCCACGCAATTCAGCTCTCCCGTAGAATACTATTCTCCGCATGGTGCGGTGAGCGTGGAGGACCGGGGTTCAATTCCTGCTGTTGACGACTTCCTGTGCCCTAGTGGTGGGCCCTCCC